AAATGGCTTTTGGGAGTTAACTCCCCGAGAGGGACACATACGATATCCATGAAAGACCTATCACATTGGCAAAACTGCAAAAGGCTGACAATGTTGAGTGTTGATGCTGATTTGGAGCAACAGGAAAGCCCATATTCCAACTGGGATAGGGGGCTTGGAGCACGGATATCAGGAGATGACAGGTTCAAGTGTTTGCAGCAGCTGGTGAGGGAGTTTCATTCTACCCCAGCCATACAAGCTAAGAATTAATGACACAGAAGCTCTGTGCAGGAAAATGGGGTCCTTCTCCTGGAAAAACGAAAAACAAAAAACAACCAAACCAGAACAAAAATGGGTGCTGGGCAGGCAAAACTACATACATGATCTACAAATCATTACAGTAAGAGGTAACACATAGGTGACACTTGCGTACATGAACTCATTGGTTCTCCCCCAGATCCTATCAGAAAAGTACTATTATTTCCCCCCATTCTAGGGATGGAGAAACTGAGGAACAGAGAGGTTAATAACCACCTCAAAGAGTCCTTGAAGGGATTAAATGGCCCAGTGGGAATAAGGTGCTTGACATAGTGCCTGACACAAAGTGAATCCCCAGCAAATACTGGTGATTTCTGGCTAATACTGTTATCATTAGACTAAGACTAAAATTCTGTCTCTGGTCTGGGCTCCCAGCTTCTTGGAGAGCCCCAGGTGCATCTCCTACTCAGAGTGTGAAGAAATCACAACCTGGGAGTTCTTTCTTGGCTCCCAAGCTCAGATGGTCTGATGGGTCAGCTGGTCCCTGGGCGGGTGCCCTCAAGTCAAGTTCAGGAGGCTAGAGAGAGAGAGAGGGAGTGCCCCTTGCCTAGGCTCATGGGTTTCCAGCAGGATCTGCCACCCCCCAAATCTGGAGGGGCAGCTCTACGGCCCCCCAGGGGAGGGAGCCGTGGGCAGCTGAACCTCCCATTTTCCTTCCCCGCAGGGCAGCTCTGCCCCTCCAGTCATTTTCTTGGCAGCTCGGCACCAGAGGTTCATTCGGTGCTAAAAATAGGCTGTGTTTAGACACTCTCAGACTCCAGCTGGAAACACGAGCTGCAGTAACCAAATGCTGCGGTTCTTACAAAGGCAGCCACTTGCCCTCCCCCTTGTGGAAACTCACACTGGCCCCGGGGAGGGAAGGCAGGGTAGGCATCAGGTCATCCGCCACGTTCAGTCAATGGGGAAACTGAGGCTCAGAGTGTGCTCATGCAGAACGGAGAGCTCATGGCGAGCACTAGCTCCAGCCCTTGGTGGGCTGTCCCATCAGGCCTTTCCGGGACCCCAAGAAGAAAACTCTATGGTTGACCCCTTTCAGAGAAAGAAAATTGCAGCTCACAGAGGTCAGGGTACATGCCCGGGTCTCATGCCCGTGACAGGAGAGAATGCTGACAGGATTGTGGTTTCCAGCGCATAATGGACCAATGAAGACCGAGAGGTGAAGGCTCCCACGTGCCCCCTGCCTGGGGTTGTAGATGCGCTGTCTGTGGGCTGGGGAGGACCGTCCCCTACCTTACGGGATTGCTGGGAGGAAGGAATTTGTTCAAATGTGTTTGCAAAGCCTTTGAAGGCAGTGTCCAGCGTGTGGCAGGTGTTCCACAAATGGCATTCGCTTCATGTCCCCATTCCCTTTGGGTCAGAATTTCTGTCTGGTGAGAGAGACAGAGAGAGGGAAAGAGATAGAGAGCAACCTGGGGATGGGGGAGTGACAGAGGGTCATGAGAGGCAGAGAAGTCTTCCAGGTTCCCTTGGGGAGGTGAGACTGTGGCTCAGTGGGGGGCCCTGAACCCCAGGACCACCCAGAGCTGAGAAATGGAAGACACTGTCTCCACAGAGTCCTGAAGATTGTTCTCTGAGGCTGTCCCCACTGTCTGGTGACAGGGTGTAGGTTTAAGCCCCCAGGGGAGGTCAGTCCCCTGACTCTTTTCACTCATGTCCTGTATGTCTTGGGGACTGCCTGTGCTCCAGATGTTGGGGCTCACTTGGAGAGAGAACAGACAGGATGCTACCACCTCTGTGGAGAGCCCAGCTTCCGGGGTGCCCTCCCTCCCAGCCCTGGCAGGTGTGTGGGTGGCTCAAGTCAGCCCCGCCCCCGGCCCCCTGGAAGGAGCACCCCTCCTCACAGCCCCTTTCCGGCTGGGCCGCCTTCACTCCCCACATCACCAGTGCCTCCATCTCTTTTTGTTCCCTGCCAGCTTCTAATGATCTCATTATCCTCTTAAAACCCATTTGGCACCCACTTAGAGAAAAGATGTGTTGAAATAGAAAAGAACGAGAAGGGAACAACAAAAAAGGACTAGACCCAGAAATATCCTCAGAGAGACAAAAAGCCACAGGGAACACAACAGCCAGAATCTCTGTCGTCTCCACAGCAGCAAATGTGCTGCTGAGGCAAACTCCTTTGAAGGCAGCTCCCACGTGCCCTTGCAAGGAGTGAGGAGCGGGGTGGGGACGTGCTTTCCTGGAGCGCCCATGCCAGGCCCTCGGCGACGTCTTTAAATGCAGTCCTCCCAGCTGTGTATCTTTGGGGAGGTGTCAAGATTCTTATGCCCACTTCACAGCCGGGCTTTTCAGCCAGTGAGAACAGGTGTCTTGACCCCTGTCACACCGCAGGTGGGTGGAAGAGGCAGGTTCTGAACCCAGGTCAGTCCACCTCCAGAGCCCAGGCTCTTGCCTGTCTGCTTCGGGAAGGGCTGGTGTTCCCCCTGCCCATCCCCATGCTGGCTGCTGGCTGGTTCTCAGGCCCAGCTGCAGAAACATCTGGCCCGTGTGTGATCTGCACGGAATACCATGGGTCATCCCCCACTGCCTGGAGGCTGGAGGCTTTCATGTTGATTAAGAAATAGGTCTTTCTAGAGTGCCGGTGTGACCACGAAACTTCACTGACTCCCCACACAAGCCATTAGAACCCCAACCAGACTCTTGCACTTGGCCTTCAAGGCTCGCTGTGTCTGTGTGGCCCTGGATAGATTCCTTAATCTCTCTGAGCCTCATTTATCTCCTCTGTGAAAAGGCTACAGTTCTCTCTCCTAGGATTGGTGTGGGGATTGAGTCAGAGTCCATACGTGTTCAGAGCAATGTCTGCACATAACAAGTGCCCAGGAGACATTAGCTATTCATATTATTGCTGTTGCTTGTCTTCTGCGTACCTCTCCAGCAGGATTTATCACTCTCTAGTACAGCCGTTTGGTGTGATGGTTGATTCCATTGTTGTCCCCCTCGGTAGACTCTGAATTCTCTGAAAGCGGGACCCTGGACGATTTATTCCCAAGCACACACAGTAGGCGAGCAACACACGTGTTTGAATGAGTGAGGAACAGGCAGATGGCCGGATGGGGGGAGAGCTGCGTGAATGAATGGGCTGCCGTAGTTCAGATGGATGGAGACACGAATGAGGGATGGGTGGATGGACTGAGGTGTGGGCAATGGATGGATGGATGGATGGATGGGTAGGTGGAATGATGGATGGATTAAAGGATGCTGGGCAGATAGATGGATCAATGGATAAGCAGGTAGTTTGACTCCACAAAAGCATGGATTTGGGGCTGTTTTGTTTCTTCATCTATTCCAAGTGCCTCGAACAATCACTGGTGCCCAGTACGTGCTTAGTACTTCGTCCCAGAATGAATAGGATGGCATATGGAGGACTGATGGAATCTACTTCGAACCACAGTTAAACTCCCATATTGCTCTGGACTGGAGGGGAGTGGTTACCCCTCTGATCTTCCATTGGCGGCCAGTTAATCCTGGGCATTGACCAAGATGGTCACGAGGCCCCCTGCTGGTGAGAATATGAAAACGCATTGGCCAAAAGGCATATTCTGTTTCCTAATTTACATTCTGTTTTCCTCTTGACTAATGAGCCTTAACGTTTACTCATAAAGCAGTGCCCTCAGCCCTCTGTGCCCGTGACCATTTTCTGAGGGCACCTTGTTATACCTGTAGGTTTCCCCTTCTATCAGAAATTCTGGTTGGAGAGGTCCAGAATCTTCATACTTGACCAGGCTCTCAGGTGATTATGAATCAGGGGCTCTTGGACCACGCTCTGAGGACCCCCTGTCAAATGAGTGAGTCACTGGTCACTGAGAGGCAGTGGAGATGGGCTACTGCCTCAGGGTCTCTCTCCCAATCTCCCCCTGGTACCCATTCTGGGTGGGAAAAAAGCCAAGTCATAAAGGCAGTGGTTACGAGCTGTGGTTTTGCCTTTGGACTGTCCTGGGTTGAAATCCCAGCTCCACCACTCATTGGCTAAGTGGCCTCAGTTTCCTAATCTGTAAAGTAAGGAAATGGTTACCTCCCCTAGGACTACTGGGAAGAATGAAGGAGTAATACACGTAGAGGGTTTGGTACAAAGCTGGGCATACTGTAGGTGCTAAATAAATGCAGAGTGAATGACTCTGTTGCTAAATAATCCTGATTTCCTTTTCTTCCTTGGATAGAGGAGAGAGGCTAGGACACTGATCTCTCCCACTCTAGAATGTGAGCCCTGTGAAAGAAGGGGCTTGGTCTCTCTGGTTCACAGAGTTATCTCCAAAAATTAGCACAACACCTGGTTTATAGTAGGTGATCACTAAGTATTTCCTCGGGGGGGTGGGGGCGGGGAATTAATTTGATCTGGTTCAGAATCAGCCAGGTCCAGGAGGCAGTTCAGCAAGGACCCCAGGAGGTGTTTTTCGGACTTAAAACAATTCATGAATCCGTATATATCTGACAAATATATAGGAAATGGGGGGGTGTAAGAACTTGGGTTTGTCCAAGATAAAGCTTGTCCCAAAACATGGGCCCTATAGGAGTCAAGCCCCCAGATTCCCAGTTTGGTTTAAAGAAAAAGGGAGGGATTCTAGAAGACCCGGCACTATTGCGTGCTTCAGGACATGGTTCCCTCACTTCTCTGGGCCTCTACATCCCCCTTGAGAAGGTTTCAGGGATCCTTTGAGGGTCTCTGTGAGGGAGCTTCTTAAATCTGTGTTCGTGCTGCTTTGCAGGTCGCAGCTCCAAGCCTTAATGCTTGAGCCGATGGAAGCCCACCCACTTCTGTTTCCATGAGGTGGACACGCTGAGCTTGGCTGCCATCTGCAGAAGGGACCAGAAAACTGCCCTGAGTGAAATCATCCAGCCCTGACAGGCCTGAGGAGCCAGGAAGAGGCGAGAAGTGAGCTGGCAGATTTCTCCTGCGATTGCTGTGGTCAAAGTTCTTTGGGAACTCTCCATGACAAAGAACAAGATGTAGGAAAATGGGACCAACTCCTGGATGTTGGGCCTCTTTTGTGGCCCAGAGAAGCTCGCCTTGACCACAGGAGGGTCCTGTTCTCTTGGTCTCGGCCAAGTGCCAGACTTGGCCTTCTGCTCTGGTTTTGGCCATCACTTTCACGGAGGAAAGAAGACTGCAGACCCCCAGGGGTTCCATCCCTAAGGGAAGCTTGGGAAACGCAGCCCCCTCCTTCCCCTTCCTGAACCCCTGACCTACCAGCCGAACTCCCAGCGAGCCAGTCCGGAATGAGCCTGCTATGGCCAAGCTCTGGTTCAAATTCCAGCGGTATTTCCGCAGGAAGCCTGTGCGTTTCTTTACCTTCCTGGTGCTCTACCTGACGGCCGGGAGCCTGGTCTTCCTGCACTCTGGCTTTGTGGGCCAGCCGGCCGTCTCCCAGAGCCAGGCCAGCCCTGCCGCAGGGGTCCCGGCTGAGAGCGCCGAGCTGCCCTTCTTGGGCGACCTGCATCTGGGCAGAGGTTTCCGGGACACGGGCGAAGCCTCCAGCATTGCCCGCCGTTACGGACCCTGGTTCAAGGGCAAGGACGGGAGTGAGAGGACCAAGCTGAGTGACTACGGTGGAGCCTGGAGCCGAGCCCTCAAGGGGAGGATCGTCCGGGAGAAGGAGGAGGAACGAGGTAAGGGGTAGACAGGGATGGTGGCCAAGCAGAAGGGAGGGGCTTGGAAGAATATAGCAAGAGCCACCAGGTCTCAGCATATAATAGGAGCCAGCTGCCATACAGTCATTGCTATCAGCATGCTGGGCAGCGCTGTAACCCCCATTTCGGAGGAGAAAGGGGAAGCTCAGAGATTAAGTAACTTGCCCGAGGTCACACAGCTTGTTAACAGCCAAGCATGGATTAGGACCCTGCAACCATTAGAGTTCAAAGCTAACTCTTCCTCACAGCCTTCTCCGTCTTGTTAAATAAATAACACACGAGAATGAAGCAGCATCTGTTGAGCACCTACTGTGTTCCTGGGACTTTTCTAAGCCCTCTACTTGTACTAAAGTGTTCCTACGATTCCACATGGATGGTGCTGTTATTCCCATTTTAGGGAGGAGGAAACAGGCACCACAAGCCCAGGGCTGTGTAGCTGGTAAGCAGTAGAGCTACTGCTCTCCCGCATGGCCTGTCGGTCGCCTCACTGGATCTCTTGGTGATGGCTCCCGGAGGACATCATTGCCCTGGGCACATGTCCTTGCATTTTCTTAGCCTTTCAGTCAAAAAGGGCTCTTCTTTGTGAGTGCAGTACCTTATCTGATTTCTACCCCGCCCCATGGACTTGAGCAAGGAGGATGATCCTACAACCAGGTTACACTTGGGGAAACTGAGGCTTGGTGAAGGGGGACCCTTGCCGAAGTCCGGAGAGCGGTAGAGTTGAAATAAAACGCGACTGGCCTGAATGCTCGGCCCCCTGACAGTCTCCCAAAGTCAGCCAATGTCTTCCCGGCAGCTGGCCGGCGTGTCGGGGAGGAGCGCGCAACCCCGCCGGTCCGGAGATGAACACAAACGCACATTTTGGGAGTCCGGACCAGATGGTTTGGGAAGATCCAGCACCAATCAGGACAGAAGGAAATCCTCCCCAGCCTTTGTGTTTCCTGCCACATGTCACACTTCCGCTGTGATTCAGCGCCTAGAAAACCCCTTCTCTCCCCACGGAGGGAAGCAGGATTAGTGGTGGGACTGCCCCTCCCCCTTCCCCCGCAAACACGTTCCCCTGCTTCCGTCCCACCCCATACCTGGCTCAGGAGCCAGCCAGGAGACCCCACCATCCCGCCCTCAGGGATTTCCTAGAAGTTGCCTCTTCACAGGGAGGTGAAGGAGAAGGTGGGAGGTGGCAGAACAGATTGGGGGACTTGGATTTGTATTCCACTTCTGTCCCAGCTGGCCATGTGGCTAGGCACATGGCTTTACCTTCTCATGCTTCAGTTTCATCATTTGTAAAGTAGGGACAGGAACCCCACCCGCCTAGGCTTTTCCTGAGAGCTCACTGAGACAGTGGTTGTAAAAGCACTTGGCACATAGTGGGTTCTTAAAGGTGGTCAGGAAACTCTCGTGGATCTGCCTGGGGGAAGAGACCCCCTCCTGTAAGCATGGGAGAGGTGTGAGGTGCTGCACTGATGGAGAAATCAGGAAGTGGCTACTCTTTCCTTCTCTACCCACTTGGCTGTATCTCCTCCCCAGCCACTCCCAACTCCTTCTGGTAGTTTGCAAGCCCCAAAGTTTGTCACAAGCCCACACCTTAGGCTATACTGTTATTCCACTTAGGATAAAGTCCAGAGTCTCCTACTGTGGCCATCTCTCGGGTCTCATCTTATAGCACTCCTTCTGTCCCTCTTACCACCACACCCCACCGTCCTTCTTCCCTTTCTCTGAATGCACCAAGCCCATTCCTAACGCAGGGTCTTTACATGGCCAATTCCTCCTATGTGGGATGCTCTTCCTCTGTATCTTTCCATGGCTCCATTCCTCCCTTCCTTTAGGTCCCCAGTCAAACCTCACCTTCTGGTAGAAGCCTTCCTAAGGAAAATAGCCCCACTTTGTACTTGGTCACAACATACTCCCCAGTTATATTTGTGACAGCACTACCAACTTACCATCACCCAAAAGCATCCTCTTGATGTCTTTGCTTCCTTGTCTGTAGTCTGTCTCCCCTACTAGACTGTTAGCTCCGTGAGGGCGGAGATGTTGCCAGTCCTATTCCCACCATTTCTGTTCATTCAGCACCTGGGACAGCACCCAACACAGGCATAGTGCTCAGACCTACTTGTTGAATGAATGAAAGATCAGATGGACCCGTGAATGAATAATTACCCTTCTGTCTGGAGTGCCTCTGAGGGTCAACTCCACTCCCTCCAGCTCTCATCTTCGCTCACCTCCAGGAAATTGTCTGTGATCCCCTGCCAGACTTGATCAAATGCTCCTCCTTCCTCTCTGGTCTTTGTCAGGGCCCTTAGGCGAATGATAATCACCTGTGCTTGTCAAGGTTCCAGATAGAATTCCTTGTGGTGCAGTTGATACAAACAACACTCACAACACCTCCCAGTTGTGAGAATGAACTCACTGCCACTACTACTAGCAGTTATTATCAGTTCTTGAACACCTACATCATGCTAGCCACTGTCCGGTTTGTTTTCCATATGTTAAAGATTTTTTAAAATTTTATGTATTAGAGAGAGAGAGTGCAAGAGTTGGGGGAGGGGCAGAGTGAGAGGGAGAAGCGGGCTCCCTGCTGAGCAGGGAGCCCGACACAGGGCTTGATCTCAGGACCCCAAGATCACAACCCCAAGCCAAAGGCAAACACTTAAATGAAGGAGCACCCAGGTGTCCTGTTTTTCACATAATATTTGAATGGAATGTTATATGTAAGATGCTTATCACCTCTTCTAGTTCATAATAATAGGTCACTTAACCGGTGTTGTTACTGTCCATAGTAGAAATAATAACTACCACCTCTTGAGTGATCGTTGTGGTCTAGACCATGTTGTAAGTGCTTCATTGCCTTACTTAATTATCACAACAACTCAGAAAGTTAGAAACCACTGTTATTCTGTTTCACACATGGGAAAATCTGAAACTCAGAAACCCAGGTCACATGGGTAGACGTGAGGAACTGAGATTTGAAACAAGGTTCATTTCATTCCAAAGCTCTCGAGCCTTTTTCTATACCATGCTAACCCCTCTGCCCCTGGACATTATAGATATTTTATAAAATGTAAAGAGAGAAGAAGAGAAACTAAGCAAGGAGCCGGAGCCTAGAGCTCACAGCAGGCAGTCTTCGGAATCAGGCGGCGTTATTAAGAAAACACAAATCCAGCCTGTCCTTGATTAACTTATTCAGAGTTCAGCGAGGAAAGACAACATATTAGATTAACACTAATAAAAACAAGACGCTTCTCTGACCTGACGCGGAACACATTTGGTTTTTCTCTGAAGCTGCCAAGGGCTCTACTTGATGCAGTGATGCGGGACTTGGGCTGTCAAGGATTCAGAGCCCATCCCGGGCTGGGAGGGGAGGGAGGAGCCACTCCAGGGCTGGGGCGTGTCTCACTTCCGGGGTGGGGCTGGCACTTTGGATGTACCACGCGCACCTTGCCAGCTCCTTTAACCTCCCCCAGCCCTGGGTGAGCCTGTGCTCTGAGCCGCCAAATCAGGGTCCTCCTGCCAGTTCTGCAGCTTGCTGACTGTGCAGCTTTGGGCAGGTCTCTCCACCTCTCTGAGCCTCCGTTTCCTTTTGCAGCTGAGAAGTACCTAACAGCAGCGGGCTATCCTGCAGATTACCCAAGATGAATCGATTGTGGGCTAAGTGCCAGGCGTGCTTCCAAGCACCTTGTACCTATTCCATCCCACAATCTTCATAGCAACGCAGTGAGGGGCACACTGTTGTTAACCCCATCTCACAGGGAGGAATCAGAGGTACAGAGAGGTTAAGGCAGTTGCCCAAGGTTGTCCAGCAGGAGGAGGGAGTAAACTAGTATTGGGAACCCTGCTGTTTTGAGTCTTACCTCTGAACCTTGACCATCGTAGCGCCTCACTTCTCGGTATACAGGAAGTGCTCAGCCCAGAGACTGGCACATAGCAAGCACTTAAGGCATGGCAGCTTTTATTATCACTATTATAATTCCACAGGAGAAAACAGAGAAGCATAGAGATGGTGGGACTTGCCTAAGGTGACACAGCTAGTCACAGGCAGAGCCTGTGCAGAAACCAAATCCAATTTGATTTTGAAGCCCAGGCATGAAGAAGGACAGTAGGGAGAATTGATCTGCAATTTTGGAAAGAGCAGCGGGGCACCCATTCCCCATCTTCTCTAGTTGAAGATACAATCTTTGCGGGCTGTTGAGGGTCCAGTCTATGTCAGGGACGGTGTATCCATACCCTCAGCTTCCCACGAGGTAGCAACTGGAGCCCCTTTCATGGACAAAGAAACTGAAACTCAGAGAGGTTAAGTGACTTAAACAATGTCACACAGCTGTCAAGAGGTGACTCCAACCCGAGTCTGAGCCTAAAGCTCTTATTCTTAACCACTGAGCTATACAATCCCCACCTCACTCCATCCATCCATCCATCCATCCATCCATCTCATAGTTATCACACTCCCGCTATGACCCCTGCCCAGTGCTGTTTGGTGGAGACACAGGAATGATTCAAGAGCAGTTTTCCCTCTGAGGAACAGTCACAGTCCCTGGGAAGGCAGACAGGCAAGTAAAACGAAAAATTTGTATGTTCAAAAAATAACTTGGTCCTGATTATCAAAATCACACATGCTCATTGTGGAAAACTTAAAATGTGTAGAAAGAGAAGAAAATACAGATTAAAAAAAAAAAAAAGAAAATACAGATCATCTGCCTGCAACCACCATCTACCCTGGGTGTCTTGCCTGTCTCTTTCCTTCCCACGTGTATTGACAAAGCACATCTTGTATTTAGATAGCATTGCGTCTTGCTTTCCCCCGTGCTAACACCTTTTCTTTGTGGTCAGAATTCTTCTGCGATGAGCCTAAATCATTTCTGGCTTGAAAAGGAATGGACATTGTCTGGAGAATTGTTTAGAACAGCGTTAGGGAAGGGTGGGGGCCAGGGGATCTGGCATCCCAAGGGAGGGATCCCGTTCAGCCATCGGAGTGTATCATGGCT